AATAATAATAATAATAATAATAATAAAGGTGTATTAGCATTCCAAAAATGAATTAGCTCTTCTATGCCAAACTTACTATACTATTCTAATTACGCTATATCATATAATTTACGATAAATCGCATTCTAATTAAGAATAAAAATATAAACAAGCTAAAAGGCCTGAGATTCATGAAAAAGGATTTTCCCCCCCAGCAGATTTTTCCGTTACAGACCATGCTAGTTTTAAAAAACACTGAAGAATCCCATACACTCATCAGAGGCCTCCAAAACTTTTATTAGGTTCTTTCCATTTTAATTCTCTTTTTCTTTCGTATCATAACCATATTTTTTATGATTGACTGAAACACATTTATACCAAAGCTTAAACATATTTTAAAGCTGTTTTGTTAAACACGGTAAAAAACTGTTTTCTACATAGAGGCAGCTTAAACCAATTTTTTTCGACTTCAAATTAAGCACATAGAAACTAAACATTTAGCGACTCCTTGAACCCTATGTAAAAGTCAGTTCTTCAGCTCTCTTTTTCACTCGGCTAAACACTGTTGAACCAAACATTGGGTGCCTGGTGTGAATGGGGTATAAGTCACGTGATATAATGGTTCTATTGTACATACCCTCTGGAGGTGACACGCACTCATCTCCTCGGAATCCACATTCGGGTGCATCACGTGGTATAACGGTTGTTCCACTCGGCCAAATTGTCGTCACGTTGTAAATTGTTACGTTTGGGTCGCCTGGGTTCGTTTCATCGATCTCCGCGATAGGAACAACGCTTCCATTTTGCCTGTTGCTAAAAACGAACACTGGTACGCGATTGCCGTGGCTATTGATGGCAACATCTCCCGACAAACCTGGAATACAAAGAAAAGAGACTGTCATTTCTCACTATTTCTCACGGGAAGACTTCTTTTGAGCCTCGATTTTTGAACTTTACCCAGTTTTCTCTTCCGCTTCCAAGCATTTCGAATTCGAGTCGGGCCACTTCGTTAAAACTGTTATTCGAAGAAATAAGATACCTTTGAATAGTACAGTGTTGTTCGCTACGTTTCTTATGATTGACAGCCCATCAGAGATATTCCCTCCGTAGCTTAGCGATCGGTTTAGACCAATGGCGTAAACTTGTATTGCGTCGTGAAGATAAGCAGAGAATGAATAAGTCTGAAAATACATTAAAAAAATTACTTTCGCTTGTCAAGTGCGAGAGAAACGTATTCTGTTATCATGCGAGTGATTACCGTATTTCCTCGACTAAGCGCCCACGCTTTAATAAGCGTCCTCCCTGAATAAGTACTCACTCCTAGGCCATAATTTCAAACGAGCTTCCCCCTTCGTCCCTCAATTTCTTAAATAATAGGGGTACAAGGTCCAAGCTTCAACTAGAGCGGAACCAGTGCAGGAGAATAATAAGTGCCTCCTCGATTAAGCACCCTCCTTCCAATAATCGCCCCCCCCCCCTCCTCTCCTTTTTGGCCGAAATTATAAATAAGCGGCTGAGCGCTTGAAAAAAAGCAAAGTGAACTGAAAATCTTCATTCTCGAGCTATGTCCGCCCATAAAAATCGTGTTTCTTACAAAAGAATCGCTCATAAGAGAAACATGTTCCCGCAACACGCCCCGCTAAAATATGGGTATGGCCAATGAAATGATTTGGTATGTACTAAAAACTTCTTAAGCTTAGCTTGGCCCCAAAGTATAGCTTCGAATATTTTTTAACTACATTGTGGCTCAATTATCATTCGCCAATATTCCTGAATTGTAGATCGCAAATAACTGTGTATTATTCTACATTTATGGTAGTAGCCTGAGAAAAGCAGCCGTCCTTTCGCTCCCTTCGCTCCCCTCGCGGGGAAACGAAGGGAGCGAAAGGACGGCTGCTTTTCTCAGGCTATTATGATGGCAATTAATTACAATACTTACAACCGCTGTTTCAGATACGTTATTGACCTTTAGCTTCTCTCTGAATTCCTCTACAAACTTGTCATAGCGTTCACCATGCGGCCCTTTTACCGACAGATTTATAATACCATCAAATAGTGCGTTAAAATCTTCTACGCTCCTTCCACCGGCCCAAGTCTTACGGATCCAATGACTTTGGATAGTAAAATCAAGTGTGACGAAGGCATACTCGCCATTCATCATTCCCAGCTCATTGGCGGTAACGAGAAGCCTGGCGACCTCCTCAATGGAGGTAAGCAGGAAGATTACTGAGGGAGACAAAAAAAATGTAACATTAGGTCAAATGGATCCAAGGGCACGTTTACGTCTAGAGAAGAAATGAGAGAGGGCCTCGAGGTTAACCTCGTTCCCAGGACTCTCTTCATTCATCGCCTAGGAGCAAGAGAGAGACTAATCCTCCCGCATCACTTGCTGGTAAGAAGAGAGACTCCAGTTAGGGACGGAATCGTTCCAAGATGGATTGTGTTGCTCAATCCTCGTGTCTGAGAGGGGAAGAGATAAGTGGGTGCTGGAAAGAAATACCGAGGGGGGAGGGGGAGGGGGAGGGTACGTTCTTCAGTCTTCCCCGACCCTCTCCCTGGATTTCTCACTGAAAAACGAAAAAAGCGGCGTTTAGCGATGTTTTCCTTCATTTTCGTTCACTCGGCTCGATCATTCACTGCTCTTTCTTTTTCGTTTGTTCTTTTTTTTGCCGAACAGTTTACAGGTACGGATATGTTTCGCTGACTTGAAAGCCACCATACAAGTGTGGTCATGCAGGAGAGAGTTCATTGACTGCCCGTTAGACGATCGAATAAGCTTAACTCTCGATGAGCAGCGTGGTGAAAAGCATTTCCATAAACTTTAATCTCAAATATATTACCTTGACCTTATTTTTCCTCTCAGCTACCCCACGCTTCTTCAGACTTTCTCTCGATGTTGACTCCTCAGAAACAATCAACAAAGAAAAAAAAAAAGAAACAAAGAATACTTACTCCGTGCAACTTCTTTGACTGGCCTCAGAAATTCCTTGTATGAAAATGTCAAACTGTGCAAGTAAGATCTACTGAAAGGTATAGTGACATTCCTTTGGGACAAATACTCCGACAAGGCGATAGCTATCGGCGCCCAGGTAAGGTCCTCGGTGGAAATTATCGCGGCGCGTGTCCATTTGTAGAATTTTACTGCTTCATAAAGAAACTCTGGGGTTTCCAGAAGGTATGTCCTACTGAAGGGCTGTGTCCGCGCAAATGTGGTGTAAAAATAGCGATTACTAAGTTCCGTTGGGGAACACGAGTACGAGATCATTGGCTTATTCCAGTATGTAGCCAGTAAACCCGCTGACAAACACTCGTCACCGCACGCAGGCCCAATAAAGGCATCGGCATTGCGAAGTTCATAAGTTTTACCTACTGCTTTCAGTTTTTGACATCCAGTGTCTTCGACCGAGTAAGTGATGTTCCAATCACGCGATAACCTGTTGAAATTATAAATGTCTTGAATGGCAGGCTGGATAGCGAGTTCCAAAGCCTTACCAAGCTCATAATATCCGGGCCTTGTCGTTGGCAACATGACACCTAAGTGAATCTTCTTCGACACGACGCAATCAATTAACAAACAAGCCAAGTATAGCCGGATCCTCATGACAAGTTCAGGTCTAGTTGTTTGATATTCTGCTCGAATGAAAAGAATAAACAGAAAAAAAGGTGATTACCAAGCGTTTCCTTGACTAGACTTATTGTTATAAAGCTTGCATGTCAGAACGGAAAATCTTATCACATTATCCCGTATATGATGGGAGGTATACACTCAATCAGGAGATATAAACACTTAATTTACAACCTTTTGTCTCAGTGGATTACTTTGTTCGGTAAAGGGCGCTTCTTGCGACTTATGAATCAAATGCTGTTCTATTAAGAGGCGTTTGACGGCAACTAAAGATATCGTAACAGCCAATTAGTATAAGGAGACACTTAGTACTGTAAGGAATAAACAAGTTTGGCGTGTAGAGGGGGGAAGAAATAATTAACCAAGTCATGAATGGTTTTAGTTGTAACCATGATCAAGAGAGAAGAATGCCTCTGATTGAATGATTAAGAGGAACAGCAAATACATTTCCGCAAAGCTTGCAGCACCCAAGGAAAAATTTGAAAGCCATTTTTCTACTTTTTTAGAAGAAAAATAGTTACTGAAAAAGATTAAGTATAGCCTCTAAACTTCCGTGTTCCTGCTTGTTACGCACCTGGAAGGCCGAATTTTAATCAATCTTGCTAGTCAAAGAGCGAGAAACTCGACGAATTAACAAATTAAGGACTTGTTTTATTCTTAAATGATTCTTAACTTTGCTTCTGTCGTATGATGCACGATCCTCGCAGTAGATAGCGCTATTTATGCAATAGCGAAAATCAGACCTGAAAAAAATCAGGCCTGTACGGGACTCGAACCACTGACCTCTGCGATACTAGTGCAGCGCTCTACCAATTGAGCTAACAAGCCAACTGGGAGCAGGCCGTTAAGTTGATTCGTAATAAACCCGTGAAAGTGATAAATGAGATACAATGAATATATGAAGTTCATATATTTTGAACTGCGGTATTAGATACGTATGATGCACGATCCTCGCAGTAGATAGCGCTATTTATGCAATAGCGAAAATCAGACCTGAAAAAAATCAGGCCTGTACGGGACTCGAACCACTGACCTCTGCGATACTAGTGCAGCGCTCTACCAATTGAGCTAACAAGCCAACTGGGAGCAGGCCGTTAAGTTGATTCGTAATAAACCCGTGAAAGTGATAAATGAGATACAATGAATATATGAAGTTCATATATTTTGAACTGCGGTATTAGATACGTATGATGCACGATCCTCGCAGTAGATAGCGCTATTTATGCAATAGCGAAAATCAGACCTGAAAAAAATCAGGCCTGTACGGGACTCGAACCACTGACCTCTGCGATACTAGTGCAGCGCTCTACCAATTGAGCTAACAAGCCAACTGGGAGCAGGCCGTTAAGTTGATTCGTAATAAACCCGTGAAAGTGATAAATGAGATACAATGAATATATGAAGTTCATATATTTTGAACTGCGGTATTAGATACGTATGATGCACGATCCTCGCAGTAGATAGCGCTATTTATGCAATAGCGAAAATCAGACCTGAAAAAAATCAGGCCTGTACGGGACTCGAACCACTGACCTCTGCGATACTAGTGCAGCGCTCTACCAATTGAGCTAACAAGCCAACTGGGAGCAGGCCGTTAAGTTGATTCGTAATAAACCCGTGAAAGTGATAAATGAGATACAATGAATATATGAAGTTCATATATTTTGAACTGCGGTATTAGATACGTATGATGCACGATCCTCGCAGTAGATAGCGCTATTTATGCAATAGCGAAAATCAGACCTGAAAAAAATCAGGCCTGTACGGGACTCGAACCACTGACCTCTGCGATACTAGTGCAGCGCTCTACCAATTGAGCTAACAAGCCAACTGGGAGCAGGCCGTTAAGTTGATTCGTAATAAACCCGTGAAAGTGATAAATGAGATACAATGAATATATGAAGTTCATATATTTTGAACTGCGGTATTAGATACGTATGATGCACGATCCTCGCAGTAGATAGCGCTATTTATGCAATAGCGAAAATCAGACCTGAAAAAAATCAGGCCTGTACGGGACTCGAACCACTGACCTCTGCGATACTAGTGCAGCGCTCTACCAATTGAGCTAACAAGCCAACTGGGAGCAGGCCGTTAAGTTGATTCGTAATAAACCCGTGAAAGTGATAAATGAGATACAATGAATATATGAAGTTCATATATTTTGAACTGCGGTATTAGATACGTATGATGCACGATCCTCGCAGTAGATAGCGCTATTTATGCAATAGCGAAAATCAGACCTGAAAAAAATCAGGCCTGTACGGGACTCGAACCACTGACCTCTGCGATACTAGTGCAGCGCTCTACCAATTGAGCTAACAAGCCAACTGGGAGCAGGCCGTTAAGTTGATTCGTAATAAACCCGTGAAAGTGATAAATGAGATACAATGAATATATGAAGTTCATATATTTTGAACTGCGGTATTAGATACGTATGATGCACGATCCTCGCAGTAGATAGCGCTATTTATGCAATAGCGAAAATCAGACCTGAAAAAAATCAGGCCTGTACGGGACTCGAACCACTGACCTCTGCGATACTAGTGCAGCGCTCTACCAATTGAGCTAACAAGCCAACTGGGAGCAGGCCGTTAAGTTGATTCGTAATAAACCCGTGAAAGTGATAAATGAGATACAATGAATATATGAAGTTCATATATTTTGAACTGCGGTATTAGATACGTATGATGCACGATCCTCGCAGTAGATAGCGCTATTTATGCAATAGCGAAAATCAGACCTGAAAAAAATCAGGCCTGTACGGGATTCGAACCACTGACCTCTGCGATACTAGTGCAGCGCTCTACCAATTGAGCTAACAAGCCAACTGGGAGCAGGCCGTTAAGTTGATTCGTAATAAACCCGTGAAAGTGATAAATGAGATACAATGAATATATGAAGTTCATATATTTTGAACTGCGGTATTAGATACGTATGATGCACGATCCTCGCAGTAGATAGCGCTATTTATGCAATAGCGAAAATCAGACCTGAAAAAAATCAGGCCTGTACGGGA